GTGTTACACAGTAGTTCCTTTCTGGTCTATTCAGGACCCTACTGAAGTATACCACCACATGTTCGTTTTCGCCCACTTTCTGTGACAACACTTCTCCAATTCCGACATTACTAGCATCACAGTCGAGTATGTACGGCAGTTAGGGATTTGGAAGCCAATTTTTATTTCAATGTCTTGAAAGCATGCTGGCAAGAAACTGTCCAATCGAACTTCTGGCCTTTTTTTTGTCAAATCATGTAATGGAGCAGCTATAGTTGCAAAGTTCTTCACAAACTTTCGGAAATAGGTACAGAGTCCCAAGAAACTTCTTAACTCTCCTACATTGTCTGGTGTTGGTCAATCACGCACTGCTTTCACCTTGTCAGGACCAGTTCACCCACCATGCCCACTTACAATGTGACCCAAGCAAAGCACCTTTTTCTGGAATAAGTGGCATTTCTTGGGATGGAGTTTGAGGTTTGCTGCTTTCAAATGCTAGAATACTTCCTCTAGCCGGGACATTTCCTCATCAAATGTTGTTGCAAACACAATGACATCATCCAGGTACACTAGGGCTATCCTCCATTGTAGGCCTTCCAGTACTCATTCCATCAGCCACTCAAATGTGGCTGGAGCATTGCTAAGCCCGAATGTCATCACACAGTTTTGCCAAAGACCTTGACGATAACTAAATGCAGTCTTAGGTTTATCTGTTTCAGCCATTTTCACTTGATGGAAACCCGACTTTAAGTCCAGAGTTGAAAACCACCTGGCTTCACTTAGGGCATCAAGAGTATCATCAATTCTTTGCAGCGGGTATGAGTCCTTTTCAGTTATACTGTTAAGAGCCCTGAAGTCCACACAGCAATGTTGGATCCCATCCTACTTCTGACACCAGTTTGTTACGTATCTGCTTGTTTGATAATTTCCGGTATAAATTCTTTCCGAGAAACTTCAGCGATACAAGTCCCTTCTTGATTAAAACTAGTTTATTCTTTCTCGATACAACTTTTTGTAATACACATAATTTCCACAACCACTTTAAACTTAACAACCTTTATAACACACGCTATAAATCGCAGTGATTCACACACTTTACTTACGGTGCCTTCTGTTCGCTTGACTCAATTGTACATTTCTTCAAACTATCTATATCTCTTCTATCTATCTGAATATCTATATATCTCTGGCTTTATTTACCGGGCTTATGTACTAAAAAAAAGGGCGCCTGGCAAATACTCGGACATTCGCGAGTTTCCTTGATAAGTCACGATCCTTCTAGAAACTCCAGTGCGCATGCTCCCAGCGTCGCGTGATTTCCGCTGTCGTAACAATATATATATATATATATGTGTGTGTGTGTGTTTAAGGATACAATAAATTAAAGAGCATATAATGAGGCCGATTGTTATGTTTTCATTACTTTGATATTTTAATTAATATGACTTTACCTTTTTTCTAGTAATTTGTCCCACTCTAGCCGGAATCCTTGGAATTCGATTTATCTCAAGCAATATTGTCAACTTCTTTCAAAGTATCACAAATCAACTTGTCGAACACAGGCAGAAAAATAAAGAGGTTCGTGTAACTTTAGTTAATAACTACTTCTGTAATGAAATTTAGAGTACAGTCACTTGTTACTAAAACGTTTCAGGTTATTATTAGTGAATAAAGATTATTTGTTTGTTTGTTTGTTTTTAATTAGGTACAAAGCTACACAAGGGCTATCTGTGCTCTGCCCACCATGGGTATCGAAACCCGGTTTCTAGCGTTGTAAGTCCGCAGACATACCGCTGTGCCATTGGGGGGCATGAATAAAGAACTTTACAACAAAGCTCGTTTCCTTTCTTTGCTCTCCCAGCAAGCAGTACCCTGAGGAGCCGTGATTCGTCGAAACTGTGGCCTACTGCAGGGGGAAATAGTAAATCAAAGATCATACTAGGCTTGTACGTTGTTCATAGATTCTATGTTTTCTTCACTGAAAGTATATGCATTTGTGAAGAAAGGAATTATTGACAAATAAACTAGAAGAAGATTGGTTATCATGCTTTGATGCAGAAAAATATCACGAATTCTCCCTAACAGAACGGCATTATGGTTGCCTCTGATAATAATAATAATTTCTATTAGAATCCAAGAAACGGTTTCTAGTCTGTGCATTTAAGCATATATAATAAAATAGCATTTTAATATTAAAAAAACGTCTTTTTCATGTTTTACATGACACTTGTATTATTAGATTTAAAACATTCAGAATATATAATGGATATATTTTAATGAATGTGGTATTTGATATTCAAAAAGAAATATCCTAAAATGTTAACGTTAAAATAACCTACACTATGTATTATCATGATAACCTATTATCATATTTCACTTAACAGTTTAATATAGATATGACCTACAGTTACTTGAGTGTTTATAATACAGTCTTAAAAACACATTAATTATTATGATTATAATGGAAGGTCGAGAATGAGAAGTAATCATAACGCGGTCCTGTTAGGGTTATTCCCGTAAGATAATTTCGTTGCACCTCTCACGTCCAAGCGGTTATAACACGACTTTAAAAATCCACATGTGCTATTGATATTAATACTGATAATATTATATGTTTCAATTTCCAACACTTCCTATACATAATAGCATGAATACGTACAATTCTTTACAATTTTTTACAATTGTTTTATGCTATGTTATGAGAGTATATATATACATATATGTGTGTGTGTGTGTATGTATATATGTATATTAAAGATTTCTTTACTTTTTTCACCAGAGTTGAAATTGAAAAGAGAATTGGGGACTTAGAGGCCTAATGTATTTTTTTATTAGCCGTACTCTCTTCTGTGGACTAAAGTTTCGCTTATTTAAGGCTTATTAGCACTGCTTGAGTAAAAACCCTATAACCTGAGCATTTCGAAAGGTGGACCTTTCTTCTTCAGGGTCAAACTCAGGGACAAAGCGCTCGGGTTATAGAGTTTTTATTCATTTCTATCAAGACTTCTTGAACCTACGTGTTTTTCTAACATCATGGGTGAAATGTATGTAATATGTATAGTGTTTTGAGTCCAATAGCTATATTTAATATTTATTAATGAATACAAATAAAACTTCTGTTGCAAAACGTTCTTAAAGACTTTAAAGTACTCAGAGCCAGACATTGGGTCAGAGCTGGTATTGCAATCTGTTAAAGGGGACATATAATTTAGTAAATCAGCATTTGTACGTCAGATTTATTAATTGTTTGTTAATATAACACATACTTTTTCTTAGTCTTACTATGAACTTTCTTATTTTTCTGTAAAACCACGTTAATTTGAAGGGGAAAGTTTTTGGTATTTGTTGAATTTTCATGCAAAAATACTCAGACTATCTACGCTAACTGTCCTTAATTTTGATGTGATAAATTAGAGGAAAGACAGCTTGTCAACACAGCCCATAGCCTTTTCTAGGTAAGGGGAGATACTGAGGTCAATCATATAGAACATTGAGAGACTTTGCTGTCAAGATGTGTAGATCATCAGCGTGTTGGATATGCTGGTTGGAGTGGCTAATGCAAATTTACGGGTGGATATAGCTCTCCCAAGCCTCCTTTGGCCTGCTCTTTACTAACGAATATTGGGATTGACCGTCACATTATAACGCTCCTACAGCTAAAGGGGCATGTATTTTGGTGAAGGGTTTCGATCCTGCAACCTGCAGATTGCGAGTCAAGTGTTCCAACTACCAGGCTATACTAGGCCTCGAATGATAAAGAAAGCTAGTCAATATCGCCCACAAATCTGATGCTAGCCTTTTCTAGGTAAGGGAAAAGAAGAGACTGGGGTCGATCAGACAGAACATTGAGTTTTTTGGTTTGAATTTCGTGCAAAGCTACACGAGGGCTATCTGCGCTAGCCGTCCCTAATTTAGCAGTGTAAGACTAGAGGGAAGGCACCTAGTCATCACAACCTACCGCCAATCTTGGGCTACACTTTTACCAACGAATAATGGGATTGACCGTCACATTATAACGCTCCCACGGATGAAAGGGTGAGCATGTTTGGTGGGATGGGGATTCGAACCCGCGACTCTCAAATTGCAAGTCAAGTGCCCTAACCACCTGGCCTTGCCGGGCACACAATGCTTGAACTTTTTACAATATCTGCAACAAAATCGACCATTCGAATGATCATTTTAATTATAGTAACATATAATTTTCGTTAAATTTCTACTAATTAAATCTGAAATTGGTTGAACGTAGCTTAATGCTTAAAGTTCCAGGCTTCGATAAGGAAGGTCCAAATTTCCCTGATCAACCGTTTTAAATTAGGAAGGACTACTATGACTAAACCCTGGGGTTTTGACATGGACATTTAGCCCATACGTCACACAAGGGTTGAAAATGCCTAAACGTATACATTTGTTGTTGTTTTGGTTTGTTTGTTTTTTACATTATCTGCCACAGGAACAGAATGAATTCTTTGATTTTGATATAACTTTTACGTGGTGGATGATGTAGATGTAAACCCATTTTCATATAACACCATGTTATTAGGTAAAAAGAAAATGCTGAAAGCTTTACACGTCTACAGAACTATACCTAAGGGGGTTATTATCTAAAGGAATAGTCCACTATAATCCGTAGTTCAGGTTTAAAATTGTAATTTTATATTTGGAAATGTTTCAGAGTTCGCATAGACTCGAGGCCGTAACCAGACTGAGGCAGAAGAGATAACTGTCTCCTCGCTTTTTCCCAAAAATTGGGGAGAGGGAGGGGCTATAAAAAATTTTAACATTGGAAACAAACGACGAAACGTATTCAATAGGAAAGCAACTCCAATCAGTCAACAAAAGAGCCCCAAATCATTCAACAAACGGACTTCCAATACATGAAGAAAGGGGCCCCAATCAGTTTTTAATTGCTCTGTACATTATGTATTATTTAAAAATTGGCGTGCACATAATCCCAGTTCCGTAAAGACAGCCCCTAAACCCCCGGCCATGGGCCCCGCTTAAAAAGGTTAAAAAGAGCCCACTTTATACTTTATACTCAAAATAAAATTTTATAGTTATGTAATGTTCTGCTGTATTTATTGTTTCCTGCGAAAATGGGGCTTTTATGTGACAAAAATTCATTTGGAGTAGGGGGCCCCTTCGAGACTTTGCCTCCCCGCTTTTTCAGCGCTGGATACCCTCAGATTGCAAGTCAAGCGCCCTAACCACCTGGCCATGCCGGTCCGAACATTGAGAGGATTTTCTGTCAAGATGTGTAGATCATCAGAGTATTGGATATGCTGGTTGAAGTGGCTAAGGCGAATTTTGGGGTGTCTATGGCCCTCCCAAGTCCCCCTGCTACTCACCATGATCTCTTGGCCTACTCTTTACCAATGAATATTGCGATTGACTATCACATTATAACGCCCCTACGACTAAAAGGGTATGCACGTTAGTGAAGGCTTGCAATTTTGCAACCTGCAGATTGCAAGTCAAGTGTTCTAACCATCATGCTATTCTAGGCCCCAAACCATAAAGAAAGCGAGTCCACTATTTCAGTGAAATGGAGAATGTTCCTATTGTTCTTCAGGAAACGTTCTGTATGGGCTGTATTTTTATGTTTTTGTCTCTAACTCTTCCAGCAGATGTGTTCTGCTTTTTTAATTGTACTATCCTTCTATCGGGATACTCTTCTGTTTCTTTCGCTCAGACTTCAAAAGTAACACGGCGATGTGCCGTGTATCAATGCAATATATGTAGAGGAACAATCTCATATCTTCTGATTATTAAAAACGTCAAAGTAATGCCCATATAAACAACGATGTACAACGATAATAATGCCAACATGATTTATTTAACACCTAATGAGACGTACAACAATGTTAAGGCAAACATGACTTATTCAATACCTCTGGAACGTACAATAGTGTTAAGGGCAACATGATTTATTTACTACCTAGGGGGATGTACAACAATGGTAAGGCCAATATAATTTATTTAACACCTATGGGATGTACAACAGTGTTAAGGCCAACATGATTTATTTAACATTTAATGTGATAAATAACAATGCCAAGCAATCTTATAGAATTTAGACTTCTACAACTATTGTTAGATATATATGATTTATTTCAATGTGCATTGAGATCTAACCAAATGTTTTGCTGTATATGATTTATTTCAATGTGCATTGAGATCTAACCAAATTGTTTGCTGTATATGATTTATTTGAACATATTTTTAGATGTGCTAAAATTTGGTAAAGTTAGTAACTTATTTCAATACGTACTGGTTTTTACGAAAGTTGCTAGATGTATGTGATTTATTGCCCTCCTACTGAAATCCGTATTATTCCGGTATTTATTATACTAGGGGACGAAAACAAAGCTTGTTATATTCTAAGTTACATTTTCATTCTTTAGAGAAGAAACGACTTCTTGCAACTTCTTTTGGATGCACACCATTCCGTTCAAGAAGATGACGAACAAAGCCAAGAAACGAACTCAATGGATAGTGCGCATGGGCATGAAGATGAGGGGAAGGCCCCTGCCTGGAAACCAACAATGCGCAACGGTAGAGTCCCACTGATGCCTAATTTTGTATTGCGGTTATTATTGTTTGACTTTATAATAGATATTTGTAAACGAAACGTGGGAAATAAGATATCCATGAAAACGATAGATACTGGTTTCAAGACAGTGAATGTTTTTGTTTGACTACTATTCTTTCTCAGTTATAACAAAATATATATGCAATTTTGTGATTATAACGTAAAACCCAAAGCAATATATTTAAGTAAACTGCTGAAGTATTTATCTTAACAGCTTGGACCCACGAAGACGTTGTGGCCAACAGTTTTCTGTTCTTCCTGGTCGGCTATGACACAACAGCCAGTGCTTTATCTTATGCAGCGTACAGTTTAGCTCTGAACCCTGACTGCCAGGAGAAACTAATTCAAGAGATCGATGGAGTATGGAAAGAACATGTAAGTTCTAACAATAACATAAGGGAGTGGAACTCAGTGCTAGTAAACAAAAGGAGGAATTGTAAACAAAACTGTCTTTGAATGCTGAATCACAACTGTAAACAATGCTTAATTTCTGCAAGATCTTTTTAGATTTATCATCCAGAATCTATTTGGTTTTTGTTCTCAATCGAAAAAGGTTGAAGCTCTATAATTAATTTCAAAGCCATTTGGATGACTTGGTCATCTACATCGCTCCACTCCAGCCCCATCTCGAATCGTATCCGCAATAACGTTTAAATTGTTTTATAAAACTCAAAATTCTACCCTCCCCACCTGTCAACATCGAATCTGTACTTCTTTTTTTTAACAATTGAATTTCAAGCACTGGCTTTAAATATTCCAGACACTTCCGTTACACAGTTTCAAGAAATGTTGGAATACGAATGTGCACATGTGTTACTTTAGGTGTTTGATTTGCTCACACTGAGATATAATTATGGCATCCTTCACTAGTTTGAATTAAGATTTTCGTGTTGATGTGCTACTGAATCACTTCATGGCAATGTGAATGTAATGTAGGGCAAAAATGGTGGCAGTCACTTATGGAGGTAAAGCTAATCAGTGACCTTTTCCCTGTAAACGTCGTAATGGTTCTAGAACTATAGTAACATTATAAACAGACATGTATTCTATAAATAAAAGCCCACTGCGTTAATTGGCATTTTGAAATTCTTTCAAAACTGATCGGTGGCTATAGGAGAAGGTGTCCACTCCTTCGGAAGAAAAATATTATACATTTATATAGAGAAATTTTTAAACGATGTAGAGCAAAATAATATAGAATTCCGCAGAAGAGAGTATTGAGTATCCATGGCAGAGGAAAACACTGACCCCAGAGTGTTTAAAGCAGTAATGAGTTCCAAAACCACATTGTAACTCAATATGCTTTCATAATTAAAGTGAAGACTGTGATTACGAAAGAAAACCCACAGATCTAAAAAGAAATTCCATTGAAGTTGTGAATATCCGTTAATAAGTATTTATAACTGATGAAGTTTATACAACGAAACGTTTCCAAGTTCTCGGTCACACCTTGAAACCAATTGTTGTTCTTTATGAGGAAAGTGACCACCGAAACTAAAACCACGGTAATTCCATTTGACAATATACCTGTAAAGAATCCCCCAGTAAAGCTCTAATGAATATTAACTTCTTATCTGAGCAAACTACATACGTAGATCAGAATTAAACTTAATGATCAAACTACAGATAATTAAACTTAAAAGTTAAACTATACTACTCATAATGATTAGAACGCATTGCTCAATTATTTGGATACCCTTGTTATTAACGATATTTTCGGCCATAAACCTAATGATATCTCACGAGACTTGTCCAGTTCAAGAACTTTAGGTTAGTCCTAATTTCACATACGAAGGTAGCGAACTTATGATTTTCTTAAGCGTGTACTTGAAAGTTTAAAACTGAGACACTGGCATTTACGGAAAGCTATACAACAAGAGTGGGACAGCACTGAAACATCTGTTCTCCTATGGAAACGTCGGTGAAGAATTAGTGTTAAGAGGGAAAGCAGTAAAACTATAATCATCTGGGAGAATGTGGTTTGCAGTTCTGATATGTGGAACTTAATGATCGTTTCGAAAAAAACTTAAATGATCTTCCATATTTATATATTGTTCAGAACTTTCTTGTAGCCTATTTATGCAGAAGTATTTTTTTTCTGATTTTATTTATTAATCAACCCAAATTTTATGCTTAATTTTTGTCCATCATTTGATTATTTTATCAGTTGCATGCTTCTATATAGGGTGGAATTAACTACGAGCAAATTGGCAAGATGGTCTACCTGGACTGTGTTGTATCAGAAACCTTGAGACTGTTCAGTATAGCTCTGTTGTAAGTAGCCGACATTGCAAAAATACAGACAAAGAATCATCCATTGATTAACTATGGTGTACTTATATAATGGTAATAACATTTAAAGAAAGTAATAAAATTAGTTTCAGAGAATTGCAATTTTACCAGATGCTTATATGAATATATTAGGTCGTCAATATATTAATGTCGCTTTTTTTAGACGAAAAAACCTGAACAACTTATATATCAAAACAAATCATTTATTAAAGAAATAGTCTCCATTTTTATCGAGGATGCATTTCCATCTTACAGTCAGGTTGTTAATGCCCTGATTAAAGAAATCACTTGACCTTGAAGCAAAAAAAAAATGTCGATGTCCTCTCTAACACCGTCCACATTTGCATATGTTTACCCATTAAGATGATGTTGCAGCGAATGAAAAAGATGGTTATCTGATGGTGTCATATCTGGAGAATATAGTGGGTGGTGGAGAACTTTCCAACCCAACTCCATAATATTGTGTTTCGTCAAGCGTACCTCATGTGGATGTGCATTGTCGAGGAAAAGAAGAACACCTTTCCGATTGACGAGTGAAGGGCGTTTCTGATAAAAGGCTTGATTTAAATGTTACAGTTGCCGACTATACATCTTTGCATTGACAGTTCGCTGTGGATTGAGGAGTTTGAAATGAATTACTCCTTTGATGTCCCACCAAATGCAAATAATCAATTTCTGCGGATGGAGTCCAGGTTTGGGGGTCGGAAGTGGTCTTGTCTGGGACTGACCCATTGTTTTTGGCGTTTAATATTCGCATAGAGAATCAATTTTATCA